CTATCTATCTATCTATCTATCTATCTATCTATCATAGAATAGAGTTGGAAGGGACCTTGGAGGTCTTCTAGACCAACCCCCTGCTTAGGCAGAAAACCCTACACGACTTCAGACAAATGGATATCCAACATCTTCTTTAAAACGTCCAGTGTTGGGGCATTCACAACTTCTGGAGGCAAATTGATCCACTGATCAATTGTTCATCTATCAGGAAATTTCTCCTTAGTTCTAGGTTGCTTCTGTCCTTGATTAGTTTTCACCCATTGCTTCTTGTCCTGCCCTCAGGTGCTTTGTTGTGTGAACTCTGCTCTTAAGGCAAGAACTGACCTGTTTAAGGCTGCTTTGCCAACACAGCTAGAGAAAGAATAGGAGAGAGAGAGAGAGACCAGGAGGGCCATAAATGGGAGGGAGGGGGGAGTCTGAAGAGGGTTTGGAGCCCCTCAACTTATCTTGTCTTTAGTATGAGAGCCCTCTTCTTGTCACTCAACACAGTTACTTGATACCCTAATCAAAGAACCACCAAGAAGAAAAGCCAACCTTGGCAGAGCAAACTACTGTATATAAACAGGGAGCAAACACACTCAGTCGCACTGATGCTATTACCTCATTTGAGCATAAAACGTCTGCAAGCAATCATTGAAGCTCAGAGAGCACCAAGAACTCCTCAGTTCAACCTGACTGATGGATAGTCTCTTCTATTGGCCTGTGAAAGTTGTAATCAAAACCTATCACATAGTTTGAGAAAGAAGTAAACATCTTCCCCCGTGCTAACAAAACTAGCCAAACCAACCAGTGCTTAGTTCTACCTACATGCTTTGCATCAGGTTCCCAACCACCATTAAAATGGGGCAGTGTTTCTGTTACGCAGCTTCTCTTACACACACTGCCACCATAGATAGAAGATTAAAAGGAAGATTTAGGTGCCCTTCTCCTCCTCCTTACTCAGCAACCATCTTCTCTATTCCTAAAGCTAACCGATGCATTGACCTGGTACGCAACTAAATTCAAGGATCCATTGGTGGTAAACCCAGAACCCTGGTTCCAGTGTTTCCTTTACTGCGAAGGTTTTCTACAATTGTTTTTCTTTCCCGTTGCTGCCTACGCCTTCTGGAAAGGTAAGCGTGCCAGTTTGTGTGAAGTAGGGGAGCAGGATATTGGGTGGGCACAAAACTACGATAAATCATCCTTGGAGAGAAGAATGCAAATATTTCCTAATGGGGTTTGAAGATCAAAAGGTGTTCTATTCTTTGCCTCCCGAGTCCCAGCTGATCGGGAGGGAATGGGGATTTTGCAGTAACCTTCCCCTGCCACGTCCACAAAACCACGCCCACTAAATCGGTAGTAAAAATAATTGAATTCCACCACTGAACTAATTGATAACCCGGCATTGTCCAGGTATTTATATATAGGGCGAAAATGTCCCGACCAAACATAATTTCTAATGCTGGATTTTCCCCCTTACAAGAAGTAGCCCCTGTATGGAGGGGAGTTACTATGGCAACTCCACTGTGCTGTACAGTAGAAGCCATTTTAAGGCACAACAGGTTGTATCTTAACAGAACACACATCACAAGGGGTGTTAGAGGTGTCTTACCTGCACAGCAGTTCTCGTCCCAATTGTGGTTATAAGTTGAGGTCTACCAATATTTACATTTGTATGCAAATTATAAAATAAACACTTGAGTTTTTTTGACCTAAGGCTGCAATCATTTTTAAAAAGTGTTTGTTTTTTTATGCAGGGAACTGCAAGTGGATCCGGACTCCTGTGATTATCTACGCAACGCACGTAACGACAACGGTGGTCGCTTGCCTGGCCCACATCCTGTTTACGGATTTCTCCAACGCTAAAGTCCCGAGTCCACAGACTCTGCAGGAACGCTTGACCCTATCTGCTTTCTACGCCCCTTTCTTAGCAATTTCTCTTGCGATGCTGCTCTTTGTACTGTTCAGCTCTGCTTATAAGCCAGTTGAAAAAAAGAAGAAGAAATAAAACCTTTGGCTTTTCTCCTTTGGGAAGGAAGACGTGCCAATTAGACCAAGGACAGTGTGTCTGTGTCCCTAAGGGAGCAAAGCACAGGTAGTCCTTGACTTATGACCACAATGGAGCCCAGAATTTATGTTGCTAAGTGAGGATGTTAAGTGAGTTTTGCCCCTTTACGACTTTTCTTGCCACATTTTTAAAATGAAACTGCAGTTGTTAAATTACCATATTTTTGGAGTATAAGACGCACCTTTTTCCCTCAAAAATAGGCTGAAAATCTGGGTGTGTCTTATACACTGAATACAGCATTTTTTGCCCCCCCGAAGCCCTGCCCCTTCACCAAAATGGCTGTGCAGAGCCTTTAGGAGGGTCCTAAAGTGCTCCTGGGGGCTGGGGATGGCAGAAATGAGTGGAAAACGGGCCGTTTTTTGCTCAATTATGCCCCCCAGCCTTCAGGAGTACTTTATAAGCCTCCTACAGGCATGCAATATTTTGACAAAAACGAGCCATTTCTGCTTGTTTAGGGGGGCACCCCCCAGGAGCACTCTGCAAGCCCCCTAAAGGCTAGTCATGCCTTTTTTGGGGGGACAGTCCCATTTTCATGAAGAACGGGCCATTTTTGGGAGATTTGCAGAGTGCAAAACCTTTTTTTTAATTTGCCTCTTTCAAAACCTTGGTGGGTCTTATACTCTGAAAAATACGGTATTCTATTTCCCCCAAAATAAGACCTCGCCGAATAATAAGCCCAATCGGGCTTTTGAGCGCATGCGCTAAAATAAGCCGTCCCAAAAAATATTGCAACACAGCAGCAGCCATGAGGTGACCACGCTCACCACCTCCTGCACCTCAAAAATAATAAGACCTCCCAGATAATAAGACCAAATACTTATTTCAGGGCGGGAGGGTGTTCAAAAGAAAATAAGACCCTCTTATTTTGGGGAAAACATGGTAGTAACATGATTGTTAAGTGAATCTGGTTCTCCCATTGACTTTGCTTGTCAAAAGGGCACAAAAGAGGATCACATTACCTCAGGACACTACGACCGTTATAAAGATGAACCAATTGTCAAGCATCCAAATGTAAATCACGTGATCTTGAGGATGCTGCAAAAGTCACAAGTGTGGAAAAGTGATCATAAGTTACCTTTTTCAGTGCCATTGTAACTTAGAATGGTCACTAAATGAACTGTTCTAAGTTGAGGACTACCTGTAGGAACTAGGCCTCAGTGTACCTGTCAGATGGAAAATATTCTCCGGAGGGGTCTTAGGAAACCACCTGAAACAGTGTTATGCCATAAAGCAACCTGCTTTTCTCGTAAAAGGGGTTGCTTCACAAATCTGAGGTGAAGAGAACGCCAGACAGATGGGTTACCCCAACATCATATAAAGCTTTTCTTAAATTGCAGGGAAAAAAACCCAGATGAAAAATTGCTGGTGCTTCTACCTTCCTTGTGTAGCTGGAGTCCAGGTTCTCCTGGCCCTCTTGGTATGGCTGCCGGTCCACACTGGTCCCTCAGACACCTCTATGTGCTTGAGACCCATGGTGGGGTGATGGTCAATCTTTTCCCAGCATGCAGGTCACATGATGGTATGGTATTTAGGTAGCTGGTCAGCCCTTCTTTCCCTCCCTCTCTCTGGCTGCTGAGCTCTTCTGCCCACAGAAGCCTCTCCTGTCCTATCCCCTTCTCTCGCTCAGAGTTGCCCCACAGAAGCCTCTTCTACCCCTTTCTCTCCCTCACGCTTGCCCCATAGAATCCTCTCCTGCCCTATCCCCTTACCTCCCTCATGCTTGACCCACAAAAGCCTCTCCTCTCCTATCCCCTTCTCTCCCTCAGAGTTGCCCCACAAAAGCCTCTTCTACCCCTTTCTCTCCCTCACGCTTGCCCCATATAATCCTCTCCTGCCCTATCCCCTTACCTCCCTCATGCTTGACCCACAAAAGCCTCTCCTCTCCTATCCCCTTCTCTCCCTCAGGGTTGCCCCACAGAAGCCTCTTCTACCCCTTTCTCTCCCTCACGCTTGCCCCATATAATCCTCTCCTGCCCTATCCCCTTACCTCCCTCATGCTTGACCCACAAAAGCCTCTCCTCTCCTATCCCCTTCTCTCCCTCAGGGTTGCCCCACAGAAGCCTCTCCTATTATTTTCTCTCCCTTGGGTTGCCCCACAGAAGCCTCTCCTATCTATCCTGTTTTCTCCCTCAGGGTTGCCCCACAGAAGCCTCTTCTACCCCTTTCTCTCCCTCACGCTT